CATCACGGAAACAGCCAAGGAGGTTCAGAGAGCAAGGAAGCCAAGGAGATCCGTTCCTCTGCATGGGGGGCCAAATCGGCGGTTTTTTGCTATGTGGGCCTTACTCCCCAATGCAAAAGAGCTGTGGCCTGGCAGTTTCTCTGCAGTTCTGTTGATTCTGTTGGGGAGCAACACTTGGTGCCACGTGTGCACTGGCACCTGTCAGCATTCATTGAACTTGGAAAGTCGTAATTCATCCAACGGCAAGTAATAGCCACATCTACGATGTTTCTTTGCATGACTCTTCCAAGTAAATCGCCACTGTCACGTGAGACGTGTACTGGAAAGCCATTGAAAGCCAGTGCAAGGAATCGAATTCATGAGGTATTGAGTCGAATCTTCAAACACTGCAATTAATCCGAAGATATCATCTGTCAAAATGAGCGCTATCCTTTGGCAAAAAAAGAATATTCCGGAATGACCAGGTGCTAAGAGGTCAAGCTGAAACTAAAACTATTGGAAGGGGTCACGAATGACATAGCCTGCACATTTCGACACGCAAACACATTCAAAGTTATTGTTATATTGCAGGTGGAATCATCTGGGAAAGCATCGGCGTGCCATGTGGCAAGTTGTTGGGTCGTTCTCAAAGCTGCATCAGGCAGAGTGAAAGTGACATCTGGTATCGGCATATCGACATCTCCGATCAAACACCTTACCCAGCTTCCTACAGTGCCGCTGATAGGTGTCTGTAACCACAGCCCAAAGCACGAATATGTGATGCTTGCAAGCGGTCTGAGAACAGGGGGCAAAGCGAGAGAGACGGAGCTGGACCAGCAGACCCTCACCAACATGCTTTCAATCTGCTCACCCATGGGCGACATGGGCGCATGATGGGCGCAATGCCCAAAGGGGAAAAATCAAGTCATCCCATCCGACGCAAAGCTGAGGCATTCGAAACTCGGCCGAAGCTCGCAACTTCCAACCGCCCGGGCCGTCGTTTGCAGGCTCGTAGTCCTCAAACTGGGTAGGCGGCACCCTCTCCGGGGACCTGGACCTAAAGGCGAGCGGCACCGTCACAAACCATGGCTAGACAGTTGAACTTCTGGGCCTAGGTGCTTTTTTTGGTTTGTTTTCTCTCGGAGAAATTGATGGCCCTGGTAGATGAGTGAACTGCCAAGGACGCCTATGCTTCTGGGGTTGATGTTGGGCTCCGCATGCGGACAACTCAAAAGAGTACTCGATGGCGGGAACCCAACATGGTGCCCATCGGGGCCTCCTACAAAGAAAGAGAAAGCAGCTGGCACCCCTGAGCAGTCACTTGGACTTGATGTGTGCGTCTTGTCACGTGTGGTAAGATTGCAGCTTCCACCTGGTGCAAAGCTTTGGCTCTGCTCAAACTTGTTCTGGAAGGATCTCTGCACCGTTAGTGAGGATGCCTGGTTCAACAGTCGGCAAAGATTGCACACACAGTGAACAGACTTGATAATAGGCAGAGTGAGTTTTCAGCTTGCAGGATTGCTAGGCCTCAGAGTTCTGGTAATGTCTTCAAGTCTTGCCCCACATCAGGCGGAGTCTCCGTGACTACACAAACAGCTTGGAGGGCGGCTTTCAAAGCTTGTGTGTGTGACCGAAACTCGCATGAGGAATGCCGACCAGAATCGGAGACTGAGAAGTGCGTGGCTCCTCTTCTTGCAGCTATATAAAAGGCACCCTTTTTGGTTGGTCGTTTTCAGTGGGAAGCCAAAGGCAAGCAAACAAGGCACACCGATTTGGAGTGCTTTCGAACCATCTGGGAGTGTGTTTTTTGAGGATACCCTCGTTGGGGTTGGTTCAAAAAGGAAACCAAACGGAAACCACCCATTTGGGAGTCTCTCTATTCAATTCTGAGTTTTCCCCCATAAGCGCAGTGCACTCACCCTATCCACTTGTCCAGGCAAGATGCGGCTGTGCCCGACCACGCTTCTTCTCCCGCGAGGGTGACCTGCACAAAGGACCAAGTGAAAAAGACAAATGATACGACGAGATATACGGCCCCTTCTAAAGAACTTACTTGTTTGGCAATGCTTCCAAACCTGAAACACGGGGGTCGCAGAGCAAAGCACCTTCATGGGGAATTTATTGGACAACAGGGCGTGCAAGAAAAAGGCAATGTGATCCACCCACCACTCGAGAAACTCTGCGCTCTCAATGTCTTAGGTTGCGACAAGATACGAGTATGAATTTTATCTGGGGACCCTTTTGCAGCCTGTTTGGTTACATATGGGCCTATAAACCCAGTGAACCCAGGTGGGTTCGCTAAACACGTAGCTGGCCAAGCAGGACCCGCCTGGAGAGCTCGCCCTCAAAGTCGGAGAGGTTTCTGCCACGGGAACCAACGCTGCCAATTTCGAATGCGGGAGGTGAAAATGGGTCTCCCATCTTTTGCGCATCCCAAATCATGTGCGCTCGGATATGAACAACATGGAAGCCAGGCTAACATTCTACGAACGTTTCATGGAACACCGTGACTCTAGGAAAACGTGCTCGTTTGACATCAGCTTCCACCATGAACCCCTTCTTGAAGTCCCGAGTCTATGGTGCGGAACTCTCCTCTAAGTGTGCTGTTGCAAGTCCGTCGAGAGATGTCCTACGGGAGATCGTAATTCCCTTCAAGGGGATATCAAAGGCTCTGAAAATCGCTGCTATGGATGTAGAGGGCGTCCGGACATCTGCGAACCCCTTTTGGTTGGCTTTCAATCGGAAAGCAAATTGCAACTGGAATTGAAGATGGGTGTCCCCTATTTGAGGCGTTTATACCAAAGGATTCCCGCCCAGGTTTGAAAGTTGCTTTGAGCATCTGCAGAGGCGCTCCTTCTGAGGGGCCCTTGGCAAATCATGTGTGCCGTGCCTATAGGAAGCCATTCGTTGGTTGTCTCAAAATATTTTGAGGAGTTGACGAACATCCAGAGGCCCCAGAGGTGCTTTGACCAAAACGCATGGATTCAGCGAGGTCCTAAGCATTCGCTCAAAGCGCTGTGACGAACCTGGGCACCATCACCAGAAACCGACCAACACCTTTGAACCACTGTTGCTTGAGCACCAACACATTTCGCTTGGCTTGAAAGCTGAACAGGCACTGGTTCAAGAAAAGGTTCGCCCTCCATGCGGCTCCCAGACATCGGGCCGCCCGGCTTCTGCGACTCCGACCTGACGACTCGACTGCCACGAGCGCAGGGCATATGCGGCCGGCCTTGTCCCAAGATTGAGGGAACTCCCTCCCGCGCCCAAAAAGAAAAAGCCTGATCTTCTAGTTTCTTTGGAAGACATACCCAACATGTCTACAGTGTTTTCAAGGGACACAACCCTTTTTCTGTTTGAATGTGGCGCAGCAAGGGAATGCTTCCCTTTAAGCCAACCGAAAAATGGGCACTGAGGCTGATCCCCGGTCCCCAACACACACCAACACACCGCCTCGCCGGCGAAGGGCTGGGTGTGGCAGCCCGGCGCTTCTCCTCAGCTCTGAAACCCACGAAACCAAAGAGAAATCTACTATAATAATAATAATAATAATAATAAAAACTCGCCCACCCCTGGCAAGTCATTTGCAAAATTTGACCCCCTGAAAAACCGCTGAGGTTTTAGACAAAAGGCTTGTGAAAAGAACCAAGGAGTGCTGAGAGGTGTTCAGCCGAGCTTTATTGATTCTAAATGGGGTTTAGGGTTTAGGGTTTAGGAGTCATCTCTGGGGGCCCTTGGGACACTTTTGGACCGAAAGGGAATTCACACACTCGCCACATCTATCAAAAGCGCCCAACCTTCAGAGATACAACTGAAACTATAAAAATAAAAATAAAAAGCATGTGGCCTCCACATGACTTCCCATGAAAATGCACGAAGGGTGGCCCAGCACACACGCTGTGCCTATGGTATGAATTATCTTCTTTGCCATTGAACAAAAGAATAAACGTGTCCACTGTAAACTGGAGTAGCCACGTGTCGGACGGCGTTTCAAAACGAAATGACTGCTGGCCGCAAGCCAGCAACACCATGCCCTGAGATCTGGACAGGAAAAGTAGTGAGCAACAGTTGCACGATTTGACATTGCTTTTTCCCGCCTCTTTGAGCGTTTTGGAACCTCAAACACTCTTGCTGTTTTGGACATCGAGAGAGGGTGAAGTGGCAACAACATCGCGGTTGCGCACAGCTTTTGTTTTGCCTCTGCAAGCCTGAGGCGCCAAAGCATGTCCAGAGCCGATGCTTGCAATCCGCACCGGACTCTTTCATGCATGAGGTAAAGCCAGCTGCAAGTGAGGCTCAGTGGTCGCAGCTTTCGGGTTTGTCAGTGCCGCTTGGACACAGCTTTTCAGGCGCCGTGTCAAGCTGCACTGGCTGAAACAATAGGCTCGCAGGCGTGACCTGCGCCAGTCTGCACCCTGCGTTCCTCACTGAAAGGACGCGGGTCAGGGCCGCTGAAACCCACCCGAGCTGTACCGAGGTTTGGTGTCATATTTGTGTGAGATTCTTCTTTTGGGGCTGCGAATCTGGGCATCACAGGAAACCACATCGGGGTCATTTGTTTGCTTTCGGAGATACCCACCGCTGCCAGACCAGCACGGCTGTTTGGAGAGAAGATGTTCAATCAACACCTTGAGCATCAATGGGCAGAGGAGACCCCACACAAAGACAAGAACACAGGCGGAACTGAGAGAGTCGAGTAAATCGCTAGGCAAACTCTGGCATTATGGAAGCTTTACGCAAATGCTCCCACCTTGCACCGTGACGCGACCGCTGCTAGAAAACCTCCCATCCAATCTTTTCCCGACCTTTAGCAGATGCGAGCACAGTCAACGTTTGGTGCGTCAACTGTGAGTGAGTGAGAGTGAGAGTGAGAGTGAGAGTGAGAGTGAGAGTGAGAGTGAGAGTGAGAGTGAGAGTGAGAGTGAGAGTGAGTGTGAGTGTGAGTGTGAGTGTGAGTGTGAGTGTGAGTGTGAGTGTGAGTGAGCGTGAGAGTGAGAGAGTGAGAGAGTGAGAGAGTGAGAGAGTGAGAGAGTGAGTGAGTGAGCGAGCGAGCGAGCGAGCGAGCGAGCGAACGAGGGTGGGTGGGTGGGTGGGTGGGTGGGGGGTGGGTGGAGAGGCAGAGAGGCGGAGAGGCAGAGAGGCAGAGAGGCAGAGAGGCAGGAGAGAGAGAGAGGGGGGGGGAAGGAGGGGACCTGCCACGGTCTTTCAGGGTCTTCTCATAGAAACGACGATCAAACGAGCTAAAGCTGGTCGGGGCAAAGCCAAGCCTCAAAATCACGTGCAGCTCGAGCATACGTTGGAATCAGCGGACTCGTCAGGTACACAGTTTAAGTTTTACCCTATTGGTGGTTTGGATTGGTGGTTGAACCCCTTATTCCTGTAAGGTACATGTGAAACCACCTCCTTACCTCTGAGCCACTAATCCAAACCACCTCTGGTGGTCTTCTGTGAAACTCGGAGGGGGAAAAAACGAAGGTCCTGAGGCCATGGTGGTTCAACGGTTCTGGGCCGTGGTTCAACCGGCTAAGGAGCACCCTCAGGGTGGGAAGCCATATGAGACTTGCGGACTACTCCCTGTACAGAGCTTCGGAGCTACGTGGGCTACATGTAGTAGAACAAAAAAGAAAAAGTTGGACATCGACAGCACAGAGTTCCGGCGTGCAAAGAGTTCGTGATTGTGTCTCTACGATGTCACTCTTTGGGGGTTGCAGCGCTGGGCCTCTGCTTTCGAGTCTCATTTCTGAGTGCGACTCCTCCAACATGGTTGGAAAAGAGAAGGGTGTGCCCAAGGAACCTCCCCTCTGCCTGGAAGCTGCCAATCCGAGGGACAAAGGGGCGGTTTGGAAGAGGGCGTGCCGTCCAAGGCTCAAAAGGTGACGGATGAACAGCTTTCATCAGCTGTCGCGAAGAACCGTGTCATTAACCCTTGGCATGCGATGGCCTGGCGTGTCCAGGCCACTCCCATGCCACGGGATCGCACGTGTTAAATGAAAGGCATCGAGTGCGTGAAACGGAATGGCAAGTCCACAACTGAGCAACAAACCAAGGAAATGCTTCGTAGAAACTGCTGCTACGAATGGACCAGACTGCTTCCAGGCAAGCAAGTACAAGCAAGACATGCGATTGCAAACATAGCCCGGCGATTGCGGCGCTTGGCCGATCGTCAGGGACTTTGAGTGATGCCTTTACGGAAAACAGTCGGCAGCATTGCACCTGCCCAAACCACTTCAGCACGCTATTCCGATGAGGCCGAAAACTGATCACGGGACAATGACCCAACAGGCATTGACTGGCAGCCTTCGAATTTGAAGCGTCAATTTCAGAGAGGACACCTACGCATGTTGAATTCAGGTTGATCCGAAACAGACTCCTACTCCTACTCCTGCCACTGCTACTGCTACTTCTACTTCTAGTGCTGCTGCTTTTGCTAATTCAGTGGCTACTACACCACTACTACTACTACTACTACTACTACTACTACTACTACTACTACTACTACTACTACTACTACTACTACTACTACTACTACTACTACTTCTACTACTTCTACTACTACTGCTTCTACTGCTTCTACTACTGCTACTGCTTCTACTACTGCTACTGCTACAAGTCTCAAGGCTGCCACCTCACCACGAAGCCAACTTCTCCAACGATACGCGGCGCTCAGTGCTGCGAAGAGGACGTACCATTTGGGGTGTTGCGTCCTGGCCAAGCAGCTCCAGTCAGTCGCCAGGACATTGGCCTACTTGGACAAAAAGCATGCTCGAAGCCCCAACTTCCCCACACGAAAGCCGGTGAAGACTCTATTGTTGGAGGGCTACTTTCGTCTCAAAGCTGCCAGAGTACCATGAGCACACCTTGGAGTCAATGGCGGCATCGGCTTCATCTCCTGGTGGCCGCAACCCTTCGAAAGAGAACGGGCTCTCCTCAAGTTGGGGAAGCCCTTCGGCTGGAAACCAGAAGGGAAATGAGCTGTGCCAATGTGGAGACGTGCCGCACGCTTGCAAAAAGGCAACTGCCTTTCTGCCAAGTCAATTGCCTTGCAGAATCCTTCGGCCCACACCGACTTTGCAACAGCCCTCATCTTCTAGGTGACCAGCATCCAGTTTTCTCCCATTTGCCAGACTCTTGCAGACAGCCCGGCTCAAAGCCATCCAACCACTTGCTGTTGCAGCTCGTTCACTTGGCACCACATGGGTATGTGTCAAAGTAGCGGTGCCCCAAAAAAATGTACTTTGCCTTTTGGTGTCCATTCCAACCAGGTTTGCGTCAAAAAAGGAGCAGCCTCAACAAAATACATATTTACTGTCAAATATGTACCTCAAGGGGGCTGGGGAGCATTTTTCAGCCCTCTCACTTAGCTGGAACTCCGCAGAGGCCATGGTGCACGCATAAAAGCATAAAAGCTTTCCTGCAGGCGTATCATATACGGCTCTGAATTTATTGGAGGGTATACACCACGGGTCTTGTTATGAAGGTATGTAACGGGCGTCCTTGCCACACAAATGTGTATCTGTGTATCGGGAAAACATTGCTCGACAAGCCTTAGCAGCACAATGTAGCGCAGAACAACAAAAAGCTACAGCTCCTTTAACAATTCGCAACTGTTCAGTGCGAGCGCAGTGCAAAAGCACACCTCTGCAGCTCGAGCTAGAAAATTGCAACTGTTCGGCGAAAACAAGCAACGGGTCGCTGGCCTGGGCTGGGGTTGGGTCTGCAACGAGGTATGTAACGGCTACGCAACGAGGCGTCGATGCATAGCGCACTACGCAAAGTGCGCCTCCGCAGCTCTAGCTTGAACTTGCAACAAGCGACGGCGAAAAGGGGGGGTCGTTGGGTCTAACGAAGTATATAACAGGTATGGAACGAGGTAGCGATGGCGCAAGGGTGCTTTTTTCCTCCGGCCCTATGTTCTCTGAATGGCAGGCTCTCTGCAAGTCTCTTCAGCGAAACGTTCTGAAGTCTGCTTTGCATCGGGGTATGAGCGGGGCATGCAACCAGGCAGGCGGTTTTGCTCATGTGTGTGTGTGTGTAAGAAAGGTATGCAACGATAACGAGGGGTGTGTAATGAGCCAGCGGCTCTTGCTACGTAGGTCTCTAACGAATGTCCGCGCAGCGGAGTTGTCACAGACCCCTCAAAAAACGTGACTGCCATACGTGTCAAAGCTTTCCTCACAAACGCACGCCCGCCTGTGCTGCTCGAGCGCCGGAAGTTGCGTCCTCAGCCCATGCGTTGCTCTCGCCTGTTAGCCTGTACATTTTGGCCAAGGGCCATAAACAATTGCACTGCGTGTCCTTGTGTGTATGTGTGTCTGAGAATCTGTGTGTCAGTAAGCAAGATCATGTTCAGCAATCGATGTTTCATCATGATGTGAAGTCGAGAGACCCGCGTCGCCAAACTTGACATGTGCGTCACCCGCTGAAAAAAAAGCAGACCCCAACTAAGAAGCTAGCTGCCAGCCAGCGACAGGGACGGTGACGGCGGACGTCCTGG